TTGGCTCTGTGAGGCCCTGCTCCAAGCCATTTTCTGCTGGGAAAACTGCGAGCAGAATTGTCCTTAAAGGAAAGCTTTGAGAAAAAAAGAGGCGTCTCCATGTGTGGCAGCCCTCAGATTTACCTTGGTCTCCCGACCGTTAATTTATCTACAAAGTTCAACGGTATGAGTACTGAAGTGAAAGCTGCCTGAACTTGCTTCCACCGAAACTGCACCAAAACATGCGATCCAATTCTATAGCACTCCCCTTGAATGGTCTTGGGTCGAACGATACAGCAAGTGCAGAATTGCGAGGCAAAGGAACGGATTTGCTGACTATGCTCTGCCCTTATGTGCAAAATTGCCCTTGGGGTGCCAATCCTTGCGTTTCTTGTGGGGTGTGATGTGCACCAAGGGTCAGGCCGCCCAAGAACTGACACAATCGTCAAGCAATGTCGTGAGGTGGCAAAGGTTCTGGTTATTTGGTGGAGCTATGGATATCTCATCCGGACAATTTGGGCAGACCAAAGCTAGCCAACATTAAGTATATTTAAGTACAGTATTGATCCAGATTCTGACATGTACACTATTATTACCCTCATGTTAACTCCCCAGAAAGTCTCCTTGCCCTCAGGTCTTTCCCGTGACAGGGAGGTTCACGCTGCATCCGAGGATCAAAATGCGAGAACAAAGGGGCCTGACCACTGCAGAAACCACACCTGTGCAGTGCCGGATGTGTGCGCAGCCACTTAGTCACTTAAAGCACCAACCACCCAATGCCAAGAAACCTGACGCCCACGCCAACCTATTCTCTCATTTCTCTCAAGCAGGTTGACTCGACTGATCAAACTCTTGAGTGACGCAGGGGGTGTCCAAAAAAGCTTGCAAACACCTCACGTATGTGCAAACGCTGCCCAAGCTTGCTAATCTTGCTCCGCCAAGCCGCATTGGCAGCTGCGGTGCATGCTGCTTGGATGGTAGCTTGCTCATCACTACCTTTGGTCACCATCTTCATGACATTTTTCAATTTGGCAACACGCATAACTAAGCAAACAATCAGACTCTTGATTTGAGTGCCCTCGGAAACTGTGCCGAGTGTCTGTACGCGGAGATGTTCTTGGAATTTGAACAGTGAGCACTGTAGTTCAGCGTCGTGTTCCCATCTTGCCACAAGTAGGCGTACACCCGGTCATTCTCTTCGGTCAGCCACAGCCTTATGCCGGCATAGAGACTCGTAAAGGACACAATTAAACCTCGGCACTCCTCAGCAATGCCAGAAATCTGAAGACAGTGAGCCGGCTACACCGCCGACCCCCTGCTTCCGCAAACTGGCTGTTGATATGCGTGTGCTGCTGCCATGCAGCCGCAGTTACCACCAAGTAGAGAATCAACTTAATATTCCTGTTGATGGAAGATCCTAGATGATCCTTGTCTAAGGCAACGGCTTTGTTTCTTCACTCCAAGTGCGGCCCGTCCCGAAGACGAAGACCAGCCATACCTGACGAATTCATCAGTCCTACCTGATGAATCGTTGGTCTCTCAAGCATTCATTCTGACGTTGGACACCTCTAGTTGTTTCACCACTTTCTTGACTACAGCTGGCTGAGCTAGGCAAAATTTGGCAGTGACTAAGCTTGGTGCCAGAGTAATCACCAGGAAGGCCACCATGAATGTGAGACCAGTTGGGGCCAGAAACCTCAGCCCAGCTGAAAACGTGCTGGAGGTGCTCTTGCTCTCTTCAATGAGATCTATTGGTACTTCCTGCAATGGGTCCACCGCCAAAATTGCAATCTACTTTACACGGTGACTGCATGTTCTATTTTCAACCTGTAGAAAAGATCCCATGTAAACAGGGCACCATCTGAACAAGCAGCTAGCAGCTACACAGCTACGCCCACATTCGGAAGAGTGCACAATACTCCATCATAATTGTAATTCCATCATATCATGTGTGCATCCCCATGGCCAAGCAGCTCAGCCGGCTGCACTTTCCGTGGCTCGAAGACCGTGGCCTTGGCAGAACACTCCCTCACACGGCGTTCGGCCGGTCAACGGCACCGCGGTCGCCATTTCCGGCGAGGTCGACCGAAAGCGCTGAGCTGTTCACCCGCAGCCAACCCATGTAGAGGATGGGCAGGGCAATGCAGAAAAGCCCAGCAGCCTCCCACAGTGCGGCACCGGGACGTTCCCTTTTCTTCGATTGGAACTGCTTCGAAGATCAGTTCCAATGCACGAAAACAGAGCAAACAAGCAATCAATCAAAGAAACAAACACTTAAGTACATATTGGATATTATGACAGTATATTGGTATGATATGATATGACCCCACCTGGGACCACCCTTTTTTCTTCTGGTGATCCCTTTTTACGATTCAGTCCGACCCCATGACATCGACATCTTCGAGGCCGCGGCCCATGGGTACGCGATCCCCTTCAGGACAGCGACGCTAAAAACGCAACCTGCGTCGCGCGGCGACGCAGGGCGCAGGTTGACAGGGTCCCTGTCGATGCGAAGCCTGAGCCCTGTCGACCTGAGTTCCTTGACTTGAAGTGGTCTTTTTTCTGTGGAAAGACCGTGGATGACTCGATGTGTTTGGATGTAATTCTGCGGTTCGTCCAAGGATCCTAGGCGGTTCCTTGACGTACATGTCTGTGTGCCAGCCCCTAGTCCCTAACAGAATGCGAATGCTGCAATTGGTATCAACTTAGCGCAGATTCTGTACATGGCGCAAGCGATGCATCACCTTAAGTACGTAAGTACGTCAACCTGTCTGACGCTTGGTTGGTCTCTCGGGGGTGGCGTCTCCACGTTTGTCCACCAACGGCCCGCCGCCCAGCCTATGAGAAAAACTCCGCCAAAGAGTTGCGCCACGACAGGCCTGGGCGCGTAGACCAACAGCAAAGAGGAAAGCCTTTGGCCTTTGGAGCTGTTTGTCACTTGGGAGTTCATCTCCAAGAATGGCTCCGAATGGCTGGCTATAGTAGAGCCATCACCGATTCATCGATATACGGCTCATCGACTTCACTTGTTTGTCAATTTTGGGGCAGCCAGTATATGCCAGGCTTTCTTTGGGTTGTTGGTAGGCTGGCTCTAGATGCTCTCGGTCATCCCCAAGTGCTGCGTCTTGCGGAATTCGCGTGTCGCACTCGCGTGTCGCGTGTCGCAGTGGGCATCGTGAGCTTCCACCACCAAAATTGCACGACCGTTGGCTGGGAAATGGGTCCAGGTCTGCCACCGTACCTCCTCGTCTAGCTTTTGGTGACGGGGGGGGGTGTAGGCTGGGTGGAATGACATGGATGATGTACTGAACCAGCACACAAGGATACACAAGGTGATCCATTTGCTTTCGCGAAAGCCTTGACTTGGCCAGCCATTTGTGAGGCTCTTTGTTCGCTGCAATCTGCACATATCTACACATCCCTTTCCATCCCAATCATCCCAAGTGGCATCAGGTTGAAATCTAAGATGAATAAGATTGCCAAGTACAAGCCCGTGAAGGCTGCCGCCGCGTTCCCGACCTCGGAGCTGCGCCAGGAGCGAGAGGCTCAGGCATTACGCCCGAAACCCAAGAAAGGTCAAGGAAACCACATACAACAAATAACTACAAATATATAATGCTTATAGGCATGCGGCAGAGGTGTGCGTTAGATAAGACTCCTGCTCTATGTCGATGTATGATATGTATCAAAAGGTGTAAAACATGTCAAGACTTATTGGTTTTGAGTCTTGAGGTTAGGTCACTCAAATCGGAGGAGATCTGAAGGGAGCTAGCAGCTATATAGTGAACATTCTAAAATTTTAGTGGAGTGACCCTAGTCAAACGGTTCCAAAACGTCCCAAAGGGTCGCAATCCAACCAAGCAGCCAGATTCATTGTGGCATCGGCCACTGAGTTGTAGACCTTAGCATGCAATAAATGATGGGATCTGACTTGAACTCAATGCCAATTTCAATCAGACTTAGAATCGCAGCCTGAACCCAACAAGTACAAGTGCACCCCAAATCACCCTAAGGCACAGGGAAAGAAGACTCTCATCCCTCACAAGCCCACACTGCTGTCCCTTGCGGCCTACACCATAACAGCGTGAAAACAAACGATTGGAGGAGGTTCCCCTCATCGCTTTCTGAAACTTCGCCGGTCACCGTGACCAAACCTGTTCCACCCTGCATCGCCCCGTTGTCTTTGGGATCCTTTTCTGGGACCCAGCGTCTTTGACCGCAAACGGCCGCATTCCCTCAAAGGCGCCAACGAGAACGGCCCGTTCTCGAACGGCCAGTGAGTTGCCGCCCAAGCTGCCAAAGGTCCAAATCCGACTGCTGTGAATCCAACCTCGGAGCCGCACACGGGCAGCGTGAAACGCCAAAATCACGGGGAGGTTTGAGAGACTGAGACAACTTCCCCCAGCATCCGTTTTCAACACCAAACACGATGTGTTTTCGCAGAGTGTGACCTATGGTGACATGAGATCACAAGAAGTTTGTTGCCTTATGCTCCCCAAATGATCAGCTTCTGCTGCCATATGGCGGCCTGGGCCTTTTTGGGGGTCTCTTGAAATCTCTTGAAACCCTTTCTCCAAGCACCTGGATCACCTGGTCGTCTTTTCCAAGCCGCGGCACGATCCCAATCATATCCACAAGGACCACGAATGGCAAAATGGCCAATAGAATCGTCGTGTTCATGGCGCCGCTTCGGCCGCTGGCCGGTTCCGGCCTGATCCGGGGCCGAGGTCCCGGGCCGATCGATCGGTACGAAGCAGAGGACATCTAAGGACTGGGCCCTCAAAAGGGCCACACCAGTGACAGGTGACACGAGCGCGTCAGGCAGTTCACGATTGTATCCAGAGAGTGGTTTCACACTGAGTGAGGTCATTGATTCAAAATATGGGGCCCTGACTATGTGACATGCTGGATTGCCTACGTGGCATGCTGGATTGCGATGATTGTTGCACAACTGACATGCCAGCCGCTGAGACTGGAGCCAACACACCGGTTGCAACACATGATGAACCAATGGGTCATCTGCACCAGTTGCGGGCTTTGTGCGCACGCATAGAATGCGGACTTTTTAAAGTCTCAAGCTGCTTGGCTGAGGCTGCTGACGTTAAACGTGCAACATGACTAGCTCGTATCATGGAGCAGGTCAGGTCTGGTGCAAATCAATTAAAGGGCCTCCCATTTCTGGAGCATCCCAACAGGTTCCTAAATCCTACATCCTACCCGAGGGACAATATCTGTCAGAGGCTCGAAAGGCCCCTCGCAAAAGGGAAATACAAATTCTTGGGGAGACTTCCCATGTCGACAAAGCCACAGGTCTCCGGCCACGCTTCGGCTGCTACTTGTTCTCTCCTCACTTGGGGAGCAGCTCTTGCATCTCTCCAGTGGCCAGGGGCCTCAATGGATACGCAAGTGCTGAGGTCCTTCAACAAATGGTCACTGTATGTCACTTACACAAGCCAGAAAGACATAGGATTGGTTGCATTGGATCGCAGGATGCTGCTGTGTGCATCAGGTTTGGGGGACTCATGAATTTCATTTAAAGCAGCTATATAACATTATATAACCAGCACCTTTAAGTGTGCGACATGGTCTCTTACACCTAATGAATCTTATTGCTATCTATGGTCCAACCCTTCCCACCAAGGCCGCCAAGGGTCTCCAGCTTCTGATGTTGTCTCTCATGCTGCAAGCAGCCTTCATGGAAAGCTTTCCTTGGAGGCTCCAGCTTGAAATGGTTGTACTGGGCTGACTCCTTCCAAGATGTCCAGGACGGTTCTCCTTCTAAGCTCATGAACCAACCATTCCAGCCATCCAAAGCCAACACTCGACCCAAACTGCTTCGCCGGCCAACGGACGCCCAAACCGGTCTCAGCCCCTCGTCCTTCGCCTTCACGCTCGTCTTGCCCAACACCAGTGGCCAAATGGCCGACCACTGGCGGGGGTTGGGGCTGGGTACCCAATTCCTTCACCAAGTCCACAAGACTTAATCAGTGAAAACAAGCCAAGCTGCCTCTCTTGAAGTCTCCTGCCACGAAGAAAGCTGCAATGCATGTTGGGGAGGCTGGGGTGAAAGCTCAGCTTGTGCTTCCAGGTCCACGCCCCAAAGTATAACATTCTGCGCAACCAGAACAGGACTGTAATGTTGACTTCTGACTTACAAAGCCACCCTATTTGGATTGTAAATTGTAAAGCATTGATCAAGAGTCTGCATTAAGCTTCGCCTGAGGTGGAAAGCATCGCAGCCAGCAGTACAATTTCAAAGGGAAAAAGGAGGTGACTCTTGACTTGGTTGCACTTGAGAGGCGCAACGTTTGTTCCTCACGGCGTCCAAACATGTCCAAACCAGATAGTGACGTTGCTACCGAATCCTTTCACAGCGAGGTATTTCTGAAAGTGAACGTCCCGTGCCAAGACATGACCATCCAAAAAGCCTGGATCGCCATCAGCCTCCTGAGCCGCATCCCCCACACCACCTGAAGTATTTGCAAAGGTGTGGTAGCTCGACAAGACTCGGAAGCTCTTGAGGCCCCATTGCCCAACGATGCATGCCTCGGCCCACATTCGGTTACTTCATAGTACAAGTCCAGCAGGCTCGCAAGCACCGACATTTGCCTATGGTCAAGGGATGTTGAATCTCTGCCGAAAAGGATTTCCGAGATCATTCGGACAGGGCTGCTTTGGCGGTGAGCACTGTCTGGACATGCCTTGTGTCACCATACGGCCTGCTGTGGCTTCCTCAGGCCCGTGCCGCAGCTGAAGCGAGAAATCTCAGCCCCAATGACGATGTCCTCAGAAAACATTGTCAAACCTATGTCCGCAGATTATTTGATAATGATTATCCTCTGATCACATTGTGCCCCTAATGATAATAGATTGAAATGGTGCAAACCTATGTCTGAACGACTCCTAGATGTGACATCCATTCACCGTCAACTCCCTGCTCTGGACCAGCTAGTGATCAACGGGCTCAACTTGCTCTCCCATTTCTGCTCCACTTAGGTCAGGTCAGCGATGGAGAAGCTGGAGCCGGTGATGAAGGCACCAGTCCGAGCGACTTGTTCTTCCACCTTCTGTAGGCGTTTGACATAGCCTCAAACTCATGGGCATGTGTCACACATCTTCAAGTATTTGGATGGCAAATGACGGCCACCAGGCACCAGGTGAAACCATGTCACTATGTCACTATACCTGGACAACAGCTTCCTGCTGGGAGCCTTCGTAGCTCCTGGCCATCAGCTCGAGCTTTCTCTCGGGCGGGGGAGTGCGAGCAATCTGGTCGATGAAGTCATGATTGCCTCAGTCATGCTGAATGTTGATCCTAGTGACTTCCCCCCAATCTGCCACGATCGATATGTTTGGGCCCATCGTTCGGGCCTCGGCGGCCTCGAATCCGGTCCAATGCTGGGTCAATACCCGAGTGGTGGGCAGAAATGGAGCCTTGCTACTAGATGCTAGTAGCTTCTTGTTCCTAGGTCCTAGTAGTCATGGCCTCCAACCTAATAGCGATGGCAGCGATGGCCTCCACCTAATAGCGTCCTTGCTACTAGTAGCTTCCTAAACTCAGGACAAAACTAAGCTTCTGACATTCATGGAAGTTCTGGAAGAGCAACCAATCCATCCAGGGTGAGCATTGTGCCATCCCCTCAATTGAGCCCAAGTGGAGGTCGGGCCCATACTTCCTCGGCTTCGCAATGCTGCATCGTGCATGCTCTTATTTGCGGTATTTGGGAATCCCCTCAAACATGAGGGGTTCTATTGACTCGGGGTTTTCGAGGACTGCTCCGCAGGGCTGAGATTTAAAACTTCATAAAAACATATCATGCAGACTGAAGGCCACCTGGCCAGCTGGGATTGAGATGTAGTGTCACAAAACAACCTCAGGCCGCCTCAGGCCCATTACCCTTTCGAAAGAACAACCTACAATGCGCAGGTCGTGGGAATGAGTCCCAACTTGACTCAGGATCCCCCTTTGCAGGTGGGATAAGCCAAGCTTCTGTGCTAAGTAGCGCACGATGGAGTGAGATTCCCAGACAGACAAGGAACCATCCACTAAACAAGGCACCAAACCTGCTGGCATCACAGGATGAGGTTTGCATGTTTGGTCGATGCACAGGAGCTCCTACATATACCTGAAGGAAATGCATGGAAATGCTATCTATAGGCTTTTGCTGCAGCTCGTTTAACTTGATATAATTCCTTGGCAGAAACTGTCCCCTGATAGACTCGTAGTGAAGGGGCCATGGTCTTGAAGTTGCCCCCGCTGGATTGAGATTAATGGTGAATGTTCAGACGAGGTTTGATTCTATTGGTGCATCTGGAAATTGCACCCTGCAATGACGACATCCGTCAGATGGGACGTGCTTTTGACTTGTCCGTGTCAACCAGTCAAGCTGAGCTTGTGCAAGGTCATCGCTAAAGCAATTTGATTCATCCACCCAAACTTGAAACCACAACTGAGCTTCGAGCGGGTTGGGCACAGCTCGACGTATTCATCCTTAGCAACTTTGCAGGGCTGAAAAATCGTCCGGAAAAGGGAAGCACCTGCTCGACCATCTTTTCCTTTAAATGTCTCAGGCGGCCCTCATCCTTCACTCACTCGGTATCACACCTGAGTCCCAACATGTTATATCTGCAATCCTTCCTTGGGACACCAGGGCTCGGAATCCACGACGCCGTAGGGCTTCGCACCAGTGCCCTCGCAAAGTAGATCGGAGTCTGGGCCCAGCCGAGCACTGGCCAGCACCAGCTCGAACGACGTCCTCGAGGTGACGCTGTGGATTGTCCGAAACGCCGGTCCGGGCAGCTGGTTTCAATGAATCGAAAGAAACGACCGGTCTGGAGCAAAGATGCACAAAAAGGGTCTAGTTGGATGATCTGTTCTGATGAGGGAGGGCAAAAACCAAAAGCATGTGTGTTGGGATGCCTTTATAAAGGCCCCCTCATCAGCACTCATTAGGGCAAAAACGGGCAACACACGTGAGCTTCCAAGCTCTCAAAGCGACCACGCCTTGATGACAGCTCAGCAAGTGTCCAAAGCACCTGACGAGACTTCTTGGATCAACTTGGTTTGGGCTGTCGGAAGTCCGAAGTAAACTCCTCAGCATGCCTTCTGAGTGTTGGAGCTCGTGGGTCGCCCAAACAGGCGCAGCATGGCTTTGGCCATGGCTTTGGCTGAAATGATGACTCCTTCAAAGATCGTAAGAGGCAAATGTCCTTATATCAATCCCTGCTTCAGCCCTGGCAGGAAAACTGGTTCTACATGTTCTGCCAGTAAGTTGGCATGAATTCGTGCGTGCGAAGATATCGCCTGTGTTTGGGCATGGGTACACAGTTCCGCGCCTACGACTTCTTACGGTCCGCCACCTCAGAGCAATCTCTGTCACCAATGACATCCTAAGCAATAAGGCTACGGGGTCCAGCAGGTGCATACATGTGCGGTCAATGCCGGACTCGGTAAGTCCATCAGCCCAGTCCCGCCGGATCCAGAGGCGGCCAATAGTAGGTTGGGCGGACATGTTGTTTGAGGTGGAGCCCAATACCTCAAGATCAGCTAAAAAGACCTGCGAAGGCTTCTCGACTCCAAGCGGCGACCCTGCCATGAAACAGATTTATCAGTGAGAGCAGCATCTCTTTCTGGTCGAGTCTGGTCACCACGCGGACCAAGAAGATGCACGGCGCAGCCACGCAGCACAGCCGTCAGATGACACGCACATGATTCACTTCATGACCCTTGGGCCCTTCTGCTCTCTGTTCTTCGTTTCTCATCCTGGCTGCCGAGGTCACGGCTGATGAAAGAAGAAACATGAAGCGGAAAGGCAGCTGTCAGATGACACGCACATGCTCCAATCGTCATGGCAAATGCGTTCTTTTCTGTTTCTGGTCAGCTTTTCTCATCCTCACTGCCACGAAGCAAAGCAACAAACAAGGTTTGTTTCTTCTAGCTTGCTTGTGATCAGACATGCCTTGACCTCCAGTCACCGCAGCCACCCATCTAAAGCCAATTGAACATAGCTTTGGTGCAATCACGACAATGCTCAAGTCTCTATATAACCTTCACCCAACCATCGGGCCATCAGATGACACGCACATATTCCACTGAGGGATCTTCATGCTGTCTCGCTCAGCTTTCTTCTCAGCGTTTTCATCCTGTCCACCGACCGCAAGCAAAGTGTAAGGAAGCAAACATCAAATCCAACATCATCTAGTGCAAACATGCCAATACGAGCAGCACAGGGCCCACTTCGATGGGCTCGAGGAAGGTCATGCCGCATGCCGATATGTCCTCCGTCCTCCCAAAGGTGTCAGACCTTCGACCTGTGATTCCTGCCCATTTCTCTTTCGCAAGGCTGACATGGCAAAGTCTCAAAGCTATATTTCAAAGCATATATATATATGGCTTATAGTACTGTTGGAATGACATTGGATGAACTCACCGATTCTGGTCACCATGCTTCAAATGAAATCCCCGAGCTCATGGATGCCATCATCTCTTTTTTGCCAGGAGTACTTGGAAGGGCTCCCCGTTCTTTTGTGCGAGACACCCAGCAAACTTCACCAACCCTAGCACCAGGCCCAGCAAAAAAGTGCCTCTTCCAGGCCAACGGCTTTTCAACGTTCGCAGCTTTCGGCTCGCATGAATCGAGGCCCCATCGACCGAGCCAAGAACCGTTCGAAACATCATCAAGGCCCATATATTTTGGTACAGTCCAGGTTGGAAAATGTTTCTAGATCGCCAGCCACTGCCAAAAAAGGGCGATTGAGTGTGGGAATCACCGGAAATGATGTTGGAAAAGGAAACACTTGACGCTCGAGTCTGCGACTAGAACACCGTGGGATTTTTCAGAGCTCGCTGGCTCGATTGATGGAGCTGTGGCTTCTCAAATTGTCACAGCTGCAAACCATAGCACTTGGTGCCAAAGCAAGGCGCCCAAGCTGAGGCATGACGAGCTGACAAGTCCTATCTCGTGAGCATTGCGACAGCTTTAGCACAGCAAAGCGGATTCTTCATTCCACCACCCGCAACATTCCAAAAAGCCAAGCGGCTACGGCGATGTGCGCGTGAAACAGGATAACCAGGGGCCAAACGTGCCCCAGTTCACCCGATGAAACGCGGGCCAACTAGCACCGCCAAGCCCAAGTGGCCATGCACCACTCTAAGTATTGATTTGGCTAAGCCACAGTTCACAGGAACCGAACTCAGGAACACCAACCGCCAACTTCACCAGTTGGATCGGTGAGTTACGACTCAGGACCAGTTGGATGTTTGGAAGAGTTCCTCCAGCCGAGCTGGTGTAAAGCTTTCGGTCCCGACCCACGACTGCGATGCTTCGGTGGGGGGCGCAGCATTGGCACCTCCGCGCGAGGCCGTGGGGATGGACCGCCCGTTCAGAACTCATCGGCCCAGGATGGATCGGGATCCTCCCAATCGTCTTCACCTCAAAATGGTCTTCACGATGGATATGACATCCCGCTGGGTTTGGAAAAAACATCAGCTCCAAGCAAATGCTTGCTCAACCTATATGCATACTGCCTACTTTTTTGGGGTCTCATGTCTGGGCAATTGAATGTAAGATGTTTGCTGCCTTTGGTCTCCGTGACACATGCGCATGAGGCACACTTTGGTTGGCCTGCTCGATCTTCTTCTGTCACTGAGAGGACTCCAGGTTCTGCGTCCTGATAGACATCATGACTCAGTTCGTGAAGCCACTGAGTGTTTTTTGGGCCCGTGGGGCCCCCCTGCCTCCTTACTAGTAGCTTACTAAGGATTACTAGCTCATTTTGCTCGAGTTCTTCCAGTTGGTGTTTGATTCGTCCTTTCCGCCCTCAGCATCTTCGGCATAGGTCTCGCCCTGAAGAAAGTACGTTCGATCACAGATTCGGCCGGTTCGACATATCGTGTCGCCGGAAACCGAAGGAGTTCGGCCTGAGGGGTGAAGGGAGGTTTCAGCTGTCGAGATAGGAGTTGATCCCATCCTCAGCGGCTTCGGCGGCGCCAGCAGCGGCTTCGGTGGCTTCGGCTTTCTGGTGCGTTTGTTTCTCGTCCCATTTTGCTTTGGTGTCCCTGCTGAAGTCAGCATAGAAAGGATGCTCCTGGAAGAAGTCACCGAGCCACTGAATGACATGCGAGCATTCCTTCCACCTAGTGCTAGCCAAGCCTAGGCGGGTTTCTCTACGCTCTCTCTCAAACATTGTCATCAGGCCACCTGCGGAATCCTTGAACACAAATCAAACGAGATCAGTTCTATCGAATCGAGAAGGGGTTGGACATGCTGCCTTCTTCTATCTGCAGGAGGGTAACTCAGGTCCTTGAAACATGAGGTCAAAACAAGTAGCAAGAAGCTACTGGGTTGGGAAGCCATCGCTACTACGAGTAGGTTGGAGGCCAGGGTGGAGTAACAAGAAACCATAACGAGTGACTCAACGACATGACCACACGACCACACGACCGGCCACCGGCCCTCCTTGAGCTCGTCATAACCCCGCTGTCCAGCGCCCAAGCGCTTTGCGGGGTCCCGGCACCTGGTTCATACACGGTGGGAGTCAAGGTCAGCAAGGCCCGAGGGTTGAATAAGCACGCCCAACTGTGATTCAAACTCAGGAACCAGCAGTCAGCTGTATCTGCTTCCACTCTTGTTAGAACGATGCACTCCAGGTGATAATTGTAGAAACTGGTCGGGAGATTTCTGACCAGTTCTTGATTGACCCTTATCGGGCCCTGACACCTGTTCACATCTGGTGTCACAGGGCCTGGTCCCTAGGAGACCTGCTCAATGAGCAAGATAGACCCCAACAGGAAAGAAGACCAACAAACACCTACCATGAATATCCATGAATGTGAGCTTGCGAATGGTCGGTGCTGGAGGAAAACAAATATCATATAGATTCAGGTGGATAAATAAACGACAAACCCGCCATGCATGTCACTGAGCCCCAAGCAGCAATTGCTTCATGAGTTCTTTGGCGTCCTAACAACGTGGCTGTGGGGAAAATGGCCCTGACCACACACAGCTATTCAGCGCCAACATGTTTGATATGTCTTCTGCTCTATGCTGATTCATGACCAACTGGTTCTGATAGCTTCACGGCGACAATGTCCCATTGGCCACTGAATGGAACACAGCGTTGAGAGAGTTGGAACATTGAAGTGTAGAAGGCATCTCTCTGATAGATTGCCACCTGAAAACCCCCGTGGACTCAAAACACCCTGTTTGCAGGTGTTGGCATGTTGAAGTTGGATTCCCGAATGGACGCCTCTCAGAACAAAGTGGGCAGCCAAGAACACAAACTAGTAGCAAGGACGCTACTAGTAGCTCCTGGCCTTACTACTAGTAACAAGAAGCTACTAGGAACAAAGGGCATCGCTACTAGTAGCAAGGACGCTACTAGAGTCCATTGGTTAGAGGCATCCGGAGGTGCATGCTTATGGAAACGTTCCCACGCTGGAGGACGGAACGATGGAGAGCTCCCTCACATGTTCAAAACGAGAAGCTTAGCACCAGGTCTAGGCGACCCAGGAGCAACTGACTATTTACAGTAGATACCCCAGCGAATGAAAGGAGAGTATGTAATCCCCTCAACCCTGCCCCGTTGGCCACCCATCCTTCTCGTGAACTCCCAGCCATTTGGGGAACTTCAGCGGCGCTTTGAGAACGGCTTTGAAGATCTGGGGGCCAGCAGGGCAGTTGGCCGAAGCTGTGGGTGGAACTGGCAAAACGAAAAACAAAGGAGTCCGGTTCGGTGGTTTGTGAAGAAAGGTCTAAATCCTTTCAGGCTTCGGGGGCATTGTTACCAAATGTTACCAAGAATGAAGAGGATGGTCTTTCTGAAAAGAGCTTGACAATATGTGATCCGACTCTTGTTAACACCAAAGCGTTTGAGGCGCTTTGGGGTTCTTGGGAGGAGGCGCCAAAGAAGGCGCTTAATGGATTAATGCCTTGACCTACAGCACCCCGCAGCACACACACAAAAGAACCGCAATTTAGTATAATTTAGTCACATTTATATAATCTGTGCACCGGGTGGACTTCAGTATTTGAGAGACAGCCCGCAAACCACTCACTGAATTGGGACCCTGCTCCATCGTAAAGCAAGAAGAACGGGAAACAAAGAGATAAAGCCTGTTCGGGGCATTTAGCAACTTCTGTTGGGGGCATTTCAGAATTCGGGCACTAATTTGTCATCGACTCCCCTTGACTGACTTGCGGCCATGAGCTGTGCACTTTGCAAATCCATAGTGGGCCTCTGCATTGCTGGCTTGGTCATCTCCAAAGGGGAAGGAGCCCACCATGAAGTCCTGGCATCAGGAAAAAGCCTGCAGCCCAGCCTACACGAGCCAAAAACACACGAAAACCAGTGAACTGCTGCGGAAGATCCTAGCCTTCGCCTTGTCAGAAAAGCAACATAGACCAACCATCTACCCCGCTCATTTCACAAGTCCCCGGTGCCTTAAATCTTTTTCACCGTCCTCACCCTAGACCTCCTCACCATCGCCGCTTCACGGAAGTAAACTAGCCCAGCAGGCGAAGAGGCACACACCCAAGCTCCAGAGGTCAGCAGCAGTGGTGTAGCCCTTCCCCAGAATCACCTCCAGCTCCATGAGTCAAATCCCCACGGTGTTTGGCCAAAAATGGCCGTGCTTTGCTCGTGCGCTCTGCGCACCTCTGGAGCCATGAACAAGGGTGTTCCCTTCACCTCAGATTCAAAATGATTCCAAGACTTTGTGCCGGTTGGAAGTTGGAAGCCTCTGATTGAAGACTTAGTCCTTGGCGGCGTAAATGCGGCCATCCGTAATCTGACGAATCGTGTGCTTGCACGACGTGGAAGACGTATCAAAAAGATCAAACAGCAGGCTCAGGTATGTAAATGGCGCACTCGCTCTGCAACGCCAAAGTCAATGATCTTGAGATAGCCATGTTGGTCGATCAGGCAGTTTTCACCTTGCACACACACAGATTCCAAGCAGAGCTGCATAGGGCACCCTGATAGTGAAGCTAATAAAGCCGCAATCATGAACGAATCAGAATTGCCCCATTGATGGAACCTGGAAGAAATTCGTGAAATAAATTGAAATACACGGCCGACCATTTGTGCCAGTCAGGGCTAAGCTGGCTAAAGGAACTTCAAACTCATGGGCCGACCCTGAGTCGCCGCAAAATATGACAGGAGATACAGGAGGTGTTCCATGGTGTTCCGTCTCGTTCAACTTGTTGGGCTCCGACCTTTGAGATCCAAGTATGCTATTCGTCTCTCATGCAGAAACCTTAGCAGCATCAGTCGCATCCGTTCTTGAACGACATCTTGGCTTGAAGGCTTGGCTCAGTCTGCAACTCTATGGCCAGGATGATCGATGCCGAGTAGAACTGGGCCTGGCACGCGAAATAGGAAGCTCGGGCACTGGGAGAACTTCAGTGTGAATTTCAGCTCTGATTCGGTATCTGCATGGGGAGAACTTCAGACTGATGCATCAGTCCTGAGCCTGGTAGTTTCCGCATGTTTCCACACCCAACAAAACTGCAGTTTCCAACAGTGCTCACGGCCTGAGGAGCTTGCAACAAGCCTTGGAAAGGAACACAGCTGTTCGACACGGCTCTGATGCCGCAACAGCTCATTCCACACCGCTGAAGTGCAGGGGTTAGCAGTTGGCAGCTACAGGCTAGCATGGGCGGTGTGTTTAAAACCGCCATGCAACTTGAAGACTTCCTTGGCTCCCAACAACTTGAGACTCTGCACTGTTCTGAGGTGGCTGCCGAGGGCATCCAATGCATCGAGGAGCTCTCCGCCCGTCACCTTAGGAGCTTTCCGACGGTTGGTCCATTGTCTTCTGTTGCAAGAATGGCTCTTCAATGGCTCAATGGTCCTGCCTTCAAAAAGAACACCAGATCCAAGCAGATCCTTGTTCTGTCTTTGTCGGACTGAGGTCCAAACGAGTTCCGTCAGAAAGTACACAAAACGCGGACCTCATGCCATGCGGAGAGATTGGATCGATTCAATTTGGGTCATCAGGGGCTCCATGAAGGCCAGCTACAAAGTGCTGGTTTAAGACTCTTCAAATGATCCGAAGATTCTCTGCGGCGCTCTACGGAAACTGGGCCTCGACTGTGAGGGTCATCTGTCTTGCGCAGCTTGAGATGTGGACCGTTGAACGAGCGGACAAACTTGATGATAAAGGGATGGTCCTGTCCGCTTGGATGGGTCTTCATTTCCATGGCACAACTCGATCAATCTTGTCTGGCCTCTCGAAATTAACAACAAACCCTGACGTCAATGCAAGTGTTTTGAACTAAAGCTGGCTGTCCAGTTCCGCCAAGATATCTCTTTCATGTGCAAGGGCTTTCTGCTGTTTCTGTTCAACCTGTGCGCTGCATCGTTCGACATCGTCCGTCAGGGAGGTTCGACATCTGCGCAAGGAGTACTTCGAAGCCCCTATGAAGACCGCACACTGAACGCATGGTGCGAACATTTCATCCACCAGAGACGAGGTCCACAATTCCAAGCATGTCATCACAATGTCTTCATTTGTTGAACTGGGATTCACCAACTGGTCAGCTTCACAATGCTTCACGTGACCCCTGATTGCTTGCTGAGCCCCGTGCAGCTTGCTTCTTGCTAACACACTTCAAAGCATACCTCCCAGCTGGGCCAATTCTCCTATACACATAGTGCGAAATGTAGTCATAGTGCCAAATGTTTGATATCTTGAATTTCAGGTATGGTTTTTGAGCTAGATATATAGATTCCGGGATATTATCGGACCCCCACCGTGACAAGCGCTGAAGCATCCCAGGAGGCCAGCGCTTTCGTTATCACGCACTGGGTGACTGGGCCCTCAAGCTTCCCTTTGTGAGCTGGGCCCTCAACGCATTTTTTGCATCACAATGTTTCCCCAGTTGTACAGACCCCCAAATATATAGAAAGGTGGGTCCCCACTACAAAAATGAGCTGGACACCTTTTCTTCCTCTGCATTTGGGACCTATACTATATAGATGCGGTCGGCGCCGCCCTTGGCTCCCTCATCCGATCTCCGCGCATCTTCGCGCCTTGTGCCACTCGTCTTGGACTGCACCTGGTGCCGATCGACACGATCGGCGTCGGCGTGACACGTCTGCTGGTCTGGGCCATACTTGGCCACAGACCAGCGGGCAAAGGGCAGCACTGAGAGAATCTGAGAGATGTTTGATGCTCCCCATGTAAGAGCTTACAGCATAACAAATTGATTGATCCAATTAAGTCTTGAGTCCTTCCATTAAAATCCCGTTCTGCAGCTCGAGTTTAGCACAGGCAACGGCAGCTGTTTGTCAAAGTTCAGTAGGTTTCCCATGATTTGCCCTCAAGAACCCCTCCAAAAACTCACAGATGCAGTCACCACTCCGAGTCGCAGGCCATCTTCACCACTCCGAATCCTCCTCGTCCAATCACCCGCAAGCAAGTCAATGAACTCGGCAGCGGTGGCCACGCTCCAGGACTTCCACCAAATGCTCTCTACCCTAAAATTGGAATGACACCTGGCTGCGGAGACCCGGCAGTGTGCCGAGTGGTTCGATGGCTATTGAAGCAGCCAGTCGGATCAGTCGGACCTTGAGGGCCCGACTGGGACACCCAAGCGCTGGAGACATGGGAACAGGTTTGGAACCGCCGTCAGGGAGCAAAGGGGGGCGTCCAAATCAAAACACTCCCCCAAACTCACCTCGCCTCTGTCAGACAGGTTCGCACAACGATGGTCCTCTACCAGGTTAGGGCCAGTTGTAGGGGCTATGTCAGTTTGGAGGAACTGTTTTGTCTTATCACTTGGCGTTGGGCTTCAGGTCCACCTTGGTATTCTGCAACTCGATTCTGGCCTGTTCGCAGGTTGGGCCGGTGGAGAGGATCCGAATGGACGACTCATGTGGAAGGATAAATGGTTTCCCCCGATTTAGCAGGCCTGAAGTTTTGAAAATCGATGAACATTCCAAAGACCCACGCGCCACGAGATACTACTACAACTCTTATGATACTACAACCCCTCGGTGTTTACATATACCATCCGCCTGTGAATTCCCCTGGTGACGTTGGAATTTGCATTTTGTAGTGGGGACTTGGGTTGGGGGTCTAGAAAATGCAGTGGAGTGGCCAAGTATGCGCAAAGCGCAGGTCCCACTAGTCAAAGGAAGTTTAGTGTGCAAAACTTCCGTGTTACGGACATTCAACGGCTGTTCAATACAGCACTCATCATACACCACTCATCATACACCACTCATCATACACCACTTATCATACACCACTCATCATACACCACTCATCATACACCACTCATCAT